CCAGTCGACGATAATTGCCTAGCCACTCGGGTTTGCGGGATTTGATTGGGCAAAGGACACTGCCAACCCCGGTAAGGCGCAATCCAATGTTTCCCTTTGCTGTTCCATCCTTCCTTCCTCCCCTGGAATCTGTCCAGTCCAATCCAGTCTGGTCCTTCCAACTAAGAACCTGGAAGTACCTGCCTTACCACACACCGTCTGGCTCTCTCTGCCATTGACGTTGGCGTTTTGGCATTGACATTGCCCGGCGACGATAGGATACTAATTCACACAAAGAAAGGGGAGCGCAGTACAGGAGACAGGGACACACCAGCGAAACCCGCCTGACGACAAAGACAACGACGAAGACGACACCGAAGAAGAAGACGACTACCCGACGACTAGAGAAGGGGCTGAATCAAGGACGGCGACTGCCACACTCAGGTCCATCCAGCCTCACCCTCACCTCATTCTCATCACCTCGCTGTGTCTCGGCTTCTCATTTCCCTCTCTCTCTTCCCCTCCTCCTCAAGCAAGCACACGTACGCATTACCTGCTGCTGTACGCATTGCCCGTCTCATTGAGGAGGCCGTTCCTCTGTCCTATCTCTGGCCGCTGTTCTTTGTTCAGTCGTTGTTGAAGCCATTCCCTTCCTTACCTGATCTCCGCTCCTTCCCAACCCGCAACACCCCGGCCGCCGTTATTTGTTTTTGCTGCATCTGCGTATTGCGGGCTGCCGACTGCACCTCTTTCAATCTTACCCCGGCACCGCAGTGCAGCGCATTAATCTCAAATCTCCACCCAACATAACATTGGGATTTGTTTATGCCCCCTTTGAACCCGAGAGATATGACGACACCCGGCCTGAGCTGACCTTTCGACCACCTCTCTACCCTACCTACCTACCTACCTAACGCAGCGGTACCTCAACTCACTCCGCGCACCTGTGCGTCTTTTCCCGGCCTGGGGACAACAACCTTCTTCCTGGCATCGCACATCCACAACCACAACCCGCTTGCGTTTCTGATTTTAGCGGCCAATCTTCCTTGCGACAACACCTCACCCCAGTCCACCACTCTGTCACCAGGTACTGTCGTCGTCAGCTCACGATATTCGATCGACCCGAACCCGTCCTCGTGCGCTCTGCTCTGCTTTGCGTGGGCTGTCGAAGGGAGCCCAACGTCGACCTTGGCCCTTCGTCCACTCCTTGCGCTGTGCTCTGTGCGCCGCCGACGCCGACTTTGACGCTGGTCCCTGGATCCCCCGACGCTCGTTTAGCCTTTTCAGCTCCTGCCGCAAATCCTTCTTTCATATTGCGCTGGAGCTGACTTTGCGACGACCTCAAGATGCCGCCCTCTGCTGCGTCCAAGAAGCAGAAGCAAGCCCTTACTTTGGCCCAACTCGCCTCCTACGACGACTTTCTGACAGATGCCCTCGTTGACCATGTACGACCTTGATTCCGTCGCTGCGGCCCCTCCGCTCCTGCTGGGCGGCGCAGCCACGTATCCTGCTTTGGCGTAATGAGGCTGACCTTTTGTACAGGCATTCTACTGGACCACAATCCCCAAGAACCGCAATGGCTACCACCCGTCCCGAGGAATCCGCGAGGAGGAAATCACTCAAATCATTCAGTCCGAGATTGTCGTCAACAAAGACCTCGAGGCCGCCGAGCGCAAACTGCTAGCCACCGATGGCTTTCGCAAGTTCTTCAATGCCCTCAAGACAGACAAGGCCAAGGATGATTTCAAGCGCCACATGCGTCGCTATACCCAGGTCTACCTTCCCGACTGTCCTTTCGAAGTCAACTCCACCAATCGCTACACCATCGTGTCGCACGAGGCTGCCATCACCGCTCGACGCTTCATCAGGAGGAACGAGAACATCAAGTACCTTGCCGGAACCCAGGTCAACATCTCTCCCGAAGAGGAGCGGGAAATGACTGCCCGCAAGAAGGACTTCAGCATCATTATCTCCTCACGGAGTAAATGCGCCAGCTTGTTCATGGGCCCTGCGCGATTCGCGAACCACGATTGCGGTGCCAATGCGAAGCTGATGACTACGGGTACAGCCGGCATCGAGATTATTGCGACGAGGAACATTGAGGCCGGAGAGGAAATTACCGTCACGTACGCTGAGAACTACTTTGGAGAGGACAACTGTGAATGCCTCTGCAGAACCTGCGAGAACAAATGTGTCAACGGTTGGGCGCCTGCTGAGGGGCAAGTGATGGTTAAGAAGAGCATTGAGGAGTCACTGATGGACGGCTACTCTTTGCGCCGACGGAGGAGAGACGACAGCAGCGGTCCTTCATCCCGGACCCCTTCCGTTACTCCCGACATCCGTCCACGGGTCTCCAAATCTCGACTGAGGGGAGGAAAGTCTGCGCGAGATTCCTTGGCGGTCGACTCGCCAATGTCTGATGCGCTGTCGCCGAACAAGAAACGATCATTGGACTCGCTCGTCACACCACCCATCACTCCGTCAAAAAGGCGCAAGCTCTCCGCAACACAATCTGCACCTGCCCCCACCGAGCATGTCAGCTCGAGAGACAGCTCGGCCTCCGAGTCTGTGCGCAGCATGTCTCTGACGAGCGGCTCTAACGAAGACGGCTCGGTCACAGATATCACAGAACCGGAGAAGGATACACCGGAGCCGAGCCAGGCACGAAAGGCGGAATTGGTGAAGGAGGAGGATTGTGAGGAGTTGACGGAGCAGGTCTTGGCTCAGGCTGCGCCATTCTCTTCTCAACGGCTGGTGAAGACGGCTTCCACGGCATCGGTCGAAACGTCTAGTTCGACACGAGAAGGTTCCGTCGCAACGACTAGGTCGATACCCATATCGTCCTTGTGTGATCCTCCGCCACCGCCATCCGCGTCCTCTATGCGAGATACGTCAGTCGCTAGAGCCATGGCGTTTTCGAGTGATGCTGTCTCCTCCACGACCAGGCCCGTTATGAGCATCGCGGCCGCCATGTGTGAGAATATCAGCCCAAGACGAGTGGCAATGTCAGACGCTAGCATCTCTGGCAGAAACAGTTTGAAGATTATGCAGGTGGAGAGAATGGTGTCAACAAAAGAGCCGCTTACAAGCCCCCGTCATTTCGTGCAGGAAGCGTCAACTGTTGAGGCCTTGACGTCAATTGAGCAGGACGCACCGATCATTCGCAGCTCCGAGACGGTGCAGAGCTTGAAGGTCGAAGCACCGACGTCGACAGAGAATCCTGCGCCGATCATGGACAATATCAAAGTCTGTGCGGTGGTTGATGAGACGATGGGGGCTGCTGACCAACCGCCCCTGAAGAAGCGCAAGTACCAACGGCGCACCTTCATCAAAGAGACAACACCACCCGCGAAAACCCGAACGCCCGGCGATTACACGCTAACGCCGCTGCTGCTCTCTGAGCCGCAGACAGCTTGGGTACGCTGCATGAACTGCGAGACGGCCTTTGTGCAGCAGAACGCCTACTATACCAAGAGCTCGTGTCCGCGTTGCGAGAGGCATTCCAAGCTCTACGGGTACATATGGCCAAAGACGGAGAGAGCTGGACCCCGCGATAAGGAGGAGCGCATTCTTGATCACCGCCTCATCCATCGGTTCCTGGGACGCGACGACGAGGCGCGCATCCGCGGCCGAAAGAGACCTACCACAGGAGCGCCATCAGAGGCAGGCGAGGAAGACGCGGGGTCGGAAGCCGGTGGCAAGGCGACGCCCAAGTACAGAATTGGAAACAGGCGCCAGAGAGCCGCAGACGAAGATTCCGGGGAAGCTGAAGACACAACCGGGTTGAGACGGAGCGGTCGGATGCGCAAGGCTAGCATCAAAGTGGCAGGCGAGTGACCAACCGGAGTGGTCCGGCACCAAGCCGAAAGGACCTCTTACGGCCCTGGGCGCAAATCGTGCCCCTTTGTTTTCTCGGGAGTAGAAACAAACGAGAGACGGATTTATAATTGGAACATGAGGGGACTGCCTTGAGCGGGAAGGCGGTCTCATGTTCTCGTTGCGGATTGTACATCATCAACTTTTGATTTTTGCTATGCATGCATAACCTGCACAGGTGTTGCGTATATACCTTACATACGACATTGATATCTTTTTACGGGGTTCTCCAGTCTGTGTGTACCACTGCGATCTGCAGGGCAGTGGACGGACAGAGACGAGAGGCACAGGGCACACATCTGTTTGGCGTTGCGTTGAGAGACAACATTCCAGCCGTCTGTCTTGGCTGGACTGGGCTGGAGTTTTTTAGCTTTAGATAAGGAGGTATCGATGGCACACACACACACCTTTACGAGTCTCGGTCTGCACTCTCGCCCGCAAACGAGTGAGAGTCGAGGGAGTTTGGTGAGGCGAAGTGAGCCAAGGGGAGAGAATTGATGAGCTATTACAGACATATTTCCTGCATGCCATGCCCGTCCGCTTCCAGTATTTGTTTTTTTTCTCCGACCCCTCCGACCCTAACTGTCGGAACCGGGCATTTGACCAACTTGCCTCCTGCTGCTGCTGCTTTCTCTTATCTGCGTCTGCGGCCTGCATCTCACGGAAGTTCTTGGTGATGGTTTCGGTCGGCGACCGAAAGCGACTGACTGCTGTCCAGACACTACTCACCTCCGACATTTTGGCATAGACACACACGGCGTGCCCACCAACCCACCCACCTCACACTAATTTGACACCGCACACATACATACACATACAACACACAATCCCCTCTCCCCCGCGCGGTGGACTCAAGCGACTGCATAAAAACGGTCCTGTCGCGAACGGTGCGTCGCTAGCCAACAACCAACCTGCGCTAGAACCCAGCAAACGCTATCCTGCTAGTTTCCCCTGCCCTGCTTGTCATAAAGCTCGAGCACACCACTACCGAACCACCGGCTCACCGACTTATATCTCTTGGCTCCCCTCTCATCACCTATTCTCTCTTCTCCCGTCTGGGATCCTTAAGAGGAGGAACCCCCAAAGTCTTTGCACTTCTTCGCCGCCATCCAAGCCTGCCCAATTGTTCGGGCCGGTCATCCAACATGTCAACAGAGACTTTCACACAAAAGAGTCTCCTCAATGCCGGCCTTTCGGGGCCCCAGAACTACTACTACTCCTACTCCGAGCCACAACAACATCACCACCTATACCACCCGGCACCAAGGCTTTCTGCGCTGGCCTCTCCACATCTCTCGGCCACGCGAGCGCAGGCTAAGCAAGCCAAGCTCTCCTCTAGGCGGTCAACAACATCGTCGAGCATGACCCGGCAACAACGCCGAGCATCGCAACAGCTTCAACCACAACCGCTTCACCCCCTGACAACCCTCGTTGCCGTCGTTTTCGACTTCTTCCTACGGGGCATCTTGGACCTCACCTGGCCGCTGCGGGAACTGTGCAGGATGTTCGTGAGGGGGGTCTTTGCCAGCCTGTGCTGGGCATACCACGCATTACCGCTGCCGCTCGCCATGGGCCTGCTCTACTTTGGGTTCCAGAGCGTGCCAGACGCATTCCGCAGTGTCGAGGAGCTGAGGGCCGTCTACAGCAACCGCCAGTTCTCCGTCATGGGCAGCAGCAGCGATGCATCCGGTATGGACGGACTCTACGCTCTGGGAGAGCTCGCACTCGTGCGATGGGGAGATTTGGGAGTGTCGTCGGTAAGTTCCAGAGCCCTGACATCATTTTACTTTGGTTTGTGTGTGTGTGTTCTTTTTTTCTTTTCTTGGCTTCGAAATGCGTCCCATGTTTTGGAACGATTCGAAGCAGAGAAAAGCCAAAGAGAACCCTCCACCAAACACATTTCACACGTACACGAGAAAAAGTGACGAGGCTGACGGGTGTGGCCCAGGCGTTCTACTGTCTCGCTATGATGACCGCGGCGTATGCGGTAATGCTCCTTATTGAGATGCGCGACTACGTCCGCGACACCTGGGCGCTGATCCGGGACGAAGCTCTCGAGGTCAAGGCGCTGCGAGCGGACGAGTAGAGCTGGTTTCCCGAAAGGGCCTAGCTCTTCGTTCGTGGTCTGTCTGTGGTCCGATATCATCTCGGTCGCATTCAGTGTGGTATTAATTGTTTTACTATTTGCTATTTGGCGCGGTTGGTCAAATGGGTGACGGGAAAAGAGATGAGCGATCGAAAGCGACGAACGAAAGAGGAATCTGCGGTCGGGATTTTTCAGTCCCATCGCAATTCCCTCTGTCTCGTCCTCTTCTCTTCCCTCTATTTCTTACGATCGTCATCCTCTCACTTGGGGGATAAGCAGGCGGCGTCGAGCGGCGTAAAAGTCTAAAAAGTTCCGCGCGGCGCTTTGGGCAAGAGTTTCGTTCTCTTGGCGTTTTGGGCATTTATTTTCGGATCATCGGACGAGAAAGAGAAACGGCGTCATTCTTCCTCAGCAGGAAAAAAGGGAACAAGATTCGGAACGAATGGAATGGATGTGTGTAAGACTTGATGAGGGGCCGACAGCCGAAAGCGACGGGCTGGCCGTGGGATACGGGAACGCATACAATTCTTGATGATAATGATACAATACTTAATGAATAAGACACAAGCTGTACACCACTACCTCCGATCCCTCGTCCCCTTGGGATTTGGGGGCTGGATGGTTGTACACAAATCGATTCTTTCTCTGCGCAAAGACCAAAGATCCCCATTCTCCCGTTCTGCCCTCTGCGACACGCCAATTGTTTGCTTACACGTCTTATCGTCTACTCGGACTCGCTGGTGGAGTGACAGCTGCTGAGTGCTGATGCCCCTGCTGCAGGTTTGGTTTGCATGTTTGCTGCGGTCTCTCTCTTACACCATTAAACCCGCTCTGCTGCAACCAACAGGCCCCCAAGACGACCAGTAATTGGACGCCACAGCTCGCCTCGGTCGCGATTCACCATCACCCCGGTGTTCCCTTGCTTCTTTTGGCTGATTGATTGTCGTGGCTCTGGTGTTTTCCCCGCAATTATTCTTCGACCCAACACACCTTACCTGCAGCAACAGGCTGAAAGGGAAAGGGAATTGGCTGAGGTCCTGAGGCAGAGTGTCAAAGGTGTTTGCTGCCCATCGCCATCCTCCTGCAGCTCCCTTCTTCATGCAAGCAGCAGAGCCAAGATGGAATCGCACGACTGGATTGATTAACACTGACTGGCTGTGGCCGTCCTGGATCGATCGGCTGACTGGCTGACGGGCTGGCTGACGCTCCCGTTTTCCCTCCCGGACCTCCAACAAACCTCCGCCCTACCATCCCCTACCCCAAGCGTTCACACTCCTCCTCCTCCAGCTGGCGTTTTGCGTCTCCCAAACCGACGGACTCGGGCGAAACGAGCGGCACCCCGTCGCCCACACTTCCCCGGGTGCCACAAGAGGCAACCACGCAACGCCAGGTCTCTCTCTGTTTCCGAGTACCGTCCAATGGCGAGGCACCCCGGCACGGACTCGGTGTACGGTCTTGGGTTGAAGGCTGGCTGATGCCAGGTTCGCGGTGCTGCCTGTCCATGGTGGGAACGCTCTTTTGGACCCCACGTGCTGCGGCGGTCGCAGCTGAGGCACCACGGTGAGGCGGCAAGCAAGGGCAAGGCAGATCTTGTCGTGGTTTTGCCCGTTTTGAACAGAGTTCTTCTTGGCAGGCCTTGGGGGTTTCTCGTCTCTGGCCCCCTCGCTCTCTCTCTCTCTCTACCTAGAGACTTGGGATGTGCGTGTGTGCGGCGCCGTTACGAAGTTTGCTATAAGGCTGGCGCTGCTGCGCGCGTCTGGCCTGCTTCCCCCCACCCACCCATCATCCAGACACAATCATATGTCTGCTGTTGGCTGATCCATCTCGAGGATTGTTTGCCTGTTGCCTCCAACCTACATGGGCATGGCTGACCCTGCCTGACCCCGCGATTCATGTTGAGCCATTCCGTTCCATGTCTGATTCTTGTTCTTAAGCCGCTTTCCGAAAGTCTGATTTCTGCCTCTTCTCCCCCCTTTCTCTTTTCCTCTTGACACTGTGTTGCTGAGAGCTTATTTGAATCATTTGACCTGGTCTTTTTTTTTCCGTCGATTACCGAGCGCGCGGGGAATTCTTCGACGCTGGGTTCAGGAACGTCGCAGGGAGAGAGTGATCTATTGAGACAACACCTGGTTTTCGATTCCTACATTCCGGGGCGGCTGTTCATCATTGCACATCACACCGATCGGATTTGATTTTGAATGTTTTGTTTCGCCCGGTGAAAAACGAGCTGAGAAAAGTCCCGCCAAGATGTTGAGAATGTTTGCCGGCATGGACGGGTTCGGGGGTATGCTGTTGGTGGTCATCGTGCTCATGGTCCTGGCGGTCGGGGCCTCCACCTTCAACTATGTGAGTTCCCAGACAGAAGCCTTCTTTGGTTCTTGGCATGCCATGTGTGTCTGTGTGTGTATATGTTTTTGTTTCTTGTCGCGGCATGCTGACCACTGTCTCGGGTAGATCTTGACGTCAGGAAAGAGCAAGGAGGTTGATTTCGAGGGAGAGGACGACTCTACCTACGCTTTTTACGCTTCCAAACGGAAGAGAGCTTCCAGTCAGGTCTCCGTGCGGCTTTGAGAGGGTATCCTTTTTGCTGAGACTGTGGCAGGTGTGAAGCGGGTGACTTTTGACATTTGACAAAGTCGACTGTGAACCTTCTCGCCGAGGCGGATGCGGCACGTTGACGAGGACGGCCATGAGACGAATTGGACTTTCAGAGGAAATTTCGCTCGAGAGTATCGACGTATCATCGACGGAGACGGCGAACCATGTTCGCGAGCTGCCCCAGCCGAACAGGGACAGAGACTGATGACCACGGGGTTGATATGAACCGGGTCCGCGACGAAAGCAGGAGGTGTAGCCAGGTATTTTATGGCATGTCTCGGTATCAAACGATGTACGAGTTCTCGAAGCAAAAGGTACTTGGCGATGGCATTGATGAGGGAAGCTTCTCAAAGGTTGCGATGTTGAGTATACCAAAACCACCAAGCGCTGCATGACAGCATGGGCAGCCACATTGCATGGCTCGATCGAGGTGGAGTGATTTATGGGTATGGTCTAAGAATCAATCGGTTTGCGGGTTTGCTTTCTATCTTTCTTGCACTTGTACATTCATGGCATAGGTTGTCGATGGCGAGATCGTTGTCGTCGACTTTTTTGAAAAGAACCCAGTCAGATGTGGGCTATGGAGTCTGAATATGGCTTGAAGCGTTCTTTCTTGGGTATTAAGCAAAGCACAAGATATCAGTACAGACACTACAAATCTTTCCACCTTCTTCATGGTGTCAAATATGTTAGGTAAGTCGGTCGCTGCCCTGTGACTTACCTAGTGAACTGCACGTTGAGAGATTTTGATGTAACGCGAACACAACGATGCATTTATGCAATAGAAACCAATACAGACACAATCAGATTGAATCCGTGGTTTCGGCTGTTCAGATCCGTAGTATCCAATTTGAAAGAGTTCAGGACACCGGTCAAGAGTGTACAAGACCTACTGCATCGTAGATAGGCCTTTTAGAGACGTCGACGAGGGTTGAATCACGAAATCAAAGACATTATGATTGACTATCGATGAGTAACTGGAACAGAATTATGATCATGGTGTCAATCCGACAGCGTCCACACTGACATAATTGCTCGTCGCTCCAAAGCGATTGATAGTCTGGTCATCCGCCTCGTTGAAGCAGCAAATCATGAGCAGGTGGCGAGCACAGCGGCTCTTCTAGGTTCCCTGCCTCGTCAGTTGACCGTCGTTTAAAGTCGGGGCCTGCATTGCTTGCCACATGGTTGAAGTTGACATGAGGCTCTCCGGTGATTCGACCTCCAGGCGAACGACGTTGGCAAGCCACATGGAAGTGGGACAACCCTCACCAAAGCCTAAAGAATCTCTGTCAGTGTAAGTGCGCTTTGCATATGCATGACTATCTAGATGTACTGCGCGCCCTGATTGACGTCAGTGATGCCTCTTAATGCATTGAATTTGCGGGATCTTGATGAACAGCACTGACTCAAGTGACACTGAAAGATGCTGCGGGTAACGACGAAGATGGAGGCCTGTGCCTGGCGCAGTTGACAGCGCTGCCAGGGCTTACGGGCGGCTGCGCATTCGGCGTTTATGCTTACCGCTGAGCGTCCCTGTAATCCGGGATAGCCGAGCGATTATTTCTCCTGTTTTCTCGACGAAGGATGCAACGCGGTGCGGCGGGCTGGCGTCCCTGACCCTGGGGGCTGTGGCTGAGCGTAGATCATCGCCAGCCGGGCGACGCCGTTCCAGCGTGACTTTCTTTCGCGCGGTGGCTGTGAAGGAGGATCGGTAGGCAGACATAGAGGGACACAAAGTGACATCACACCATGGGAAATTTGCACATTTAAATGTTGAGGGGTCCGCCGGTCCAACACCGAGGATCTGGCTTGATTGTTGATTGACATCCAATTTCGGTCGAGCGAACCCGATTGTTCGTACATCAACCCCCAAAACCAAGAAAACATGCCCATCACAAAGCCCCTGCCGGACGCCCCCGCAGATGAGGCCCCGCCGCCGTACCAAGAGAAACCATCCGGCAGTCCGGCGCCGGTGAACACCGGAAGCCCACCACCGGCGGGGAGCCCGGGGCCTTCCGCCCCGCCGGGCCAGGTCGCGCGCCAGTTCCCTCCGATGTTCAATGTCTATTCGCAAAGCTTCACCCGCACAATGCTCCTGGGCGAGCACCAAAACCAACCCTTCTACGCAATGTCAATCCACAGCGGCCTGAGCAGTTCGCCGCCAATCGTGCTGCACTCGGGACCGAGCAACACCCATCCTCCCCTTGCGTCGGTCGAGTTCCACAGCTTCAGCAGCAGGATGAGCATCACGCTGCCGCCCGCGCCAAAGGGAAGTCCGGGAGGCGCACCCATTATCGAGCTCGAGTCTCGCGCCGACTTCCCAAGTTACAGATACGTCTTCTCCATGGGCGTGGGCCCCAACTGCGAGAGGCTGGAGCAATTCGAATGGCGGACGAGTTCTGGCGAAGCAATTGGCATTTTGGACGGCAGAAGCAGAGGACACAAATTAGTACGGCTGTCTCAGACCGTCCCAGCCAATGCACCGCCCGGCGTGTTCAGAGGAGGCGACGGCAAGGAGGTTGTCGCGGCCTGGACAAACGCCCACACGAGCATGACCAAGGCCGCCAAGTTCGCCTTTATGGGCAGCGGTTTGACGGGAGAGCTGGGCGAGCGCTGGGCAATCATGGCCGCCATCTCCGGCCTGGCTATTTTTGAGCGCGAGAGGCAGCGAAGGCGCAGAAACGCTTAGCATCCCGCGCGCGCGCATATAAGTACTTGGGTGGCGGCTTGGGGATTGCATCTGCATTTTGGAGTCTTGGCTTCAATTTGGCGCTTCATGGATGCACGATTGATTGCTGGCATGTTGACGAACTGTTTCGTTTTGTTTTTTGATACCCGCATCTTTAGACGAACATGAATACCAATGAGCAGATAAGCTCAATACTTGCAAGACAATGACTCGGAAAGTTCTGCGCTCTGTCGCTTTGTGCCGTTTGATGGCGCTCTGTCTTGACTGTCTAAGCCTACCTTGTCGGTTTCTGCGAAGGGGTTGCCGTCAGGGGGGAATATTCTGCGTGCTTCAGGTTGAGTGAAGCTGCCACCTCTTGTTTAAGTCGAGTCAGGGGCAGAACACAGAGGGATCTCAACCTCTGTGAACCACAGGAACCAACATTGGACTCGGCCGAAAAAAAGACACAATGAACGTAAAAGCCAAGCTTCGCGCTTCCAGTCGAGATCTCATCCCCACGAAGGCACCCTAGCATCACATCATGAAAAGTCGTGAGAGTGGACTGTGTGCTGGAGACGGTTGGATACCCAGGCGAGGATTTCCATATGATCGGCGATGTTTTGTGCATCCCAGGGGTGGACTGATCGGGCAGAACAGTTGGGAGACCCCTGCAAGACATCTGGTGGGTGGTGCAACGCCGATGTGAAGTTGCAACGAGGGGGGCCCAGCAACCTGGCCGCGGTGGAGAAGCGAAAAGACGTGCGTGATGTGCGGTGAAGCGCTGGGCTGGGATGAGAGAGATTTGACGGGGATGAAAGATGGGATGGAGTGACGGGGATGGGCCGGCGAGGACGCCACTTGGGAGGGCCCAGCGGCTGGCAAACGGCACGGCGCTCCGAAGAACATTGATGACTTTGCAGTCCTTTTGAAATGAAGTCTCTGCAGAGAGGAGGAATTGTCGGTGATGACGACGGTTTCAAAACGTCTCTTTGCATTGAGAGATACATTAGGCGCCCGGCGCCAACGTCGTCATGGCGCTGGACCAACATCACTTGCATCGTGGAGTGGGCACGGGAAGTCTATCTACTATTAGGAAGGGCAGCATAGCGTCGAATTTTGAATGACGAATAACGATACGCGGTGGGTTGCGGGCAGTGGGCAGTGGACAGCGGGCTGTGGCGTACTTTAAATCAATCTCGCATCGAAGAATCCTTTTTCTTCTAGGCTGACGGATCACCGGCTCAGCAGAGGAATCAAGCGTAATTTTGAGTCCCATCAGCCTAGGCGGATAGCAGTCCATGTTACCGTTACTTGGGCTTCGGATAACCACCGCAAAGGATCCATCAATATCCATCTGTTGGATTCTTTTGGGTCTTCCGAGAGAGCTCATGTCCGAAGTTGGTGAGTCGACGGGCGGTAGAAAATCAATAGAAGCAACTCGGGACCAACGGCAGCGAGGCCAGGCGAGATTCGAGAAGCCTCGGATCCATAACTCTTTTCCCTAGTTTAAGCCTATGTCCGGAATGGGGGCACTCAAGGCCCAGCAGGCCCAGCCAGGCTAGCCGGTCTAGCCAGCCGAGCTTCCCTTCCTGCAGAGATAACCACCTGAGGCCTGCGTTGTTGGTGTTTGCCCTGCTCCAGAGATTATTGTAATGAGATCAGGAGGCAGGAGTCGACGAGCCTGGACGCGCTCAGGGCAAGCTGTTGGCGGCAAAGTCTCGATTGGTGGAAAGGGGGCGAAAGCAGGCTGCTGTCTGCAGGGGGAAGAGCAGTTTTTGAGCAGCAAGCTGCCCGCGCGGTGCCCCTTGAGGCTCCGCAGCAGCGGCCAGCCACATGGAGGTCAGCCTCTATTGGGAGATGGCGCGTAGAATGTTGATTAAAGATGCGGAAACTGCAGGGCGAATCTGGCGATAATTAAGAAAGGAGAGGGTCAGGACTTGGCGGTTTCAGGGTGGCCGCCGGGATCAAGCGGAGGCCTGACCGGGGGTTGACCGGGGGCACGACGGCTACACGACCAATCGGCACGGCCAGCGAAGGCCGGGGTGGGGGATAGACACCCTGCGGCCCCGGTCACCCCGGCCGGTGATCCTGGTCGGTCGTCCAGTCATCCCATGTCCTGTCGAGGGGGCTGCTGTCTCATCCATTTTTTACATGTCAACCCCAACTCAGCAAACTCATAGGTATTGCTTCTGCTGCCCAGTGTCAACCACCATCATGACTACACACCTAGACTAGAAGTCACTTACACGCACCATCTCTGCTAGTGTGTGTCCGCACCTTGTCCACCTACTATGCTTCACACACG